CCCAAGAGAAGGAGGCGGGTGGTAGTGGTCAGGGACTCCTTCCCATTTAGCTGCCGTCCTGACCGGGAAAACCGAGAAGTGTGCTGCTTGCCAGCAGCTAGGAGTCACAATGTGACAGAGAGACTGCAGAGACTCATCAAGCCCTCAGATTGCTACCCCTTCCTGCTTCTCCACGGGGGCACCAATGATACTGCCAAGAATGACCTGGAGCGGATCACGGCAGACTACGTGGCTCTGGGAAGAAGGATAAAGGAGTCTGAGACACAAGTGGTGTTCTTGTCCATCCTCCTTGTGGAAGGAAGAGGCCCAGGTAGAGACCGTCGAATCGTGGAAGTCAATGAATGGCTATGCAGGTGGTGTCCGAAAGAAGGCTTTGGATTCTTTGACCATGGGATGGTGTTCCAAGAAGAAGGGGTGCTAGGCAGAGATGGGCTCCACCTACCGAAGAGAGGAAAGAGCATCTTCGCAAGCAGGCTGGTTAACCTAGTGAGGAAGGCTTTAAAACTAGGTTCACCGGGGGAAGGAGACCAAAGCCCTGAGGTAAGTGGGATACCAGGAGGAAGCACGAGCAGAAGAGCGCATGAGGGAAGGACTCCTCTCTCATACTGAGAAAGCAGGACAATCAGCGAGTTATCTTAAGTGCCTCTACACAAATGCAAGAAGCCTGGGAAACAAGCAGGGAGAACTGGAAGTCCTGGCACAGTCAAGGAATTATGAGGTGATTGGAATAACAGAGACTTGGTGGGATAACTCACACAACTGGAGTACTGTCATGGATGGATATAAACTGTTCAGGAAGGACAGGCAGGGCAGAAAAGGTGGGGGAGTTGCATTATATGTAAGAGCAGTATGACTGCTCAGAGCTCCAATATGAAACTGCAGAAAAACCTGAGTGTCTCTGGATTAAGTTTAGAAGTATAAGCAACAAGAGTGATGGCGTGGTGGGAGTCTTCTATAGACCACCAGACCAGGGGGTGGAGGTGGATGATGCTTTCTTCAGGCAACTAAACAGAAGTTACTAGATCACAGGCCCTAGTTCTCATGGGGACTTCAATCACCCTGATATCTGCTGGGAGAGCAATACAGCAGTGCACAGACAATCCAGGAAGTTTTTGGAAAGTGTAGGGGACAATTTCTTGGTGCAGGAGGAACCAACTAGGGGCAGAGCTCTTCTTGACCTGTTGCTCACAAACCGGGAAGAATTAGCAGGGGAAGCAAAAGTGGATGGGAACCTGGGAGGCAGTGACCATGAGATGGTCGAGTTCCGGATCCTGGCACAAGGAAGAAAGGAGAGCAGCAGCCCTGGACTTCAGAAAAGCAGACCGACTCCCTCAGTGAACTGATGGGCAGGATCACCTGGGAGAACATGAGGGGGAAAAGGAGTCCAGGAGAGCTGGCTGTATTTTAAAGAAGCCTTATTGAGGTTGCAGGAACAAACCATCCCGATGTGTAGAAAGAATAGTAAATGGCAGGCAACCAGCTTGGCTTAACAGTGAAATCCTTGCTGATCTTAAACACAAAAAAGTTTACAAGAAGTGGAAGCTTGGACAAATGACCAGGGAGGAGTATAAAAATATTGCTCAGGCATGAAGGCATGAAATCAGGAAGGCCAAATCACACTTGCAGTTGCAGCTAGCAAGAGATGTTAAGAGTAACAAGGGTTTCTTCAGATATGTTAGCAACAAGGTGGTCAAGGAAAGTGTGGGCCCCTTACTGAATGATGAGGCAACCTAGTGACAGAGGATGTGGAAAAAGCTATGTATTCAATGCTTTTTTTGCCCCCGTCTTCACGAACAAGGTCAGCTCCCAGACTGCTGCATTGGGACGCACAGTATGGGGAGGAGGGGACCAGCCCTCTGTGGAGAAAGAAATGGTTCAGGACTATTTAGAAAATCTGGATGAACACAAGTCCATAGGGCCATATGCACTGCATCCGAGGGTGCTAAAGGAGTTGGCGGATATGATTGCAGAGCCATTGGCTATTATCTTTGAAAACTCATGGCGATCCGGGGAGGTCCTGGATGATTGGAAAAAGGCTAATGTAGTGCCCATCTTTAAAAAAAGGGAAGGAGTAGGATCTGGGGAACTACAGGCCAGTCAGCCTCACCTCAGTCCCTGGAAAAATCATGGAGCAGGTCCTCAAGGAATCATTTCTGAAGCACTTAGAGGAGAGGAAAGTCATCAGGAACAGTCAGCATGGATTCATCAAGGGCAAGTCATGCCTGACTAACCTAATTGCCTTCTATGACGAGAACTGGCTCTGTGGATGAGGGGAAAAGCAATAGATGTGTTATTGCTTGACTTTAGGAAAGCTTTTGATACGGTCTCCCACAGTATTCTTGCTAGCAAGTTAAAGAAGTATGGGCTGGATGAATGGACTAAGGTGGAGAGAAAGTTGGCTAGATCATTGGGCTCAATGGGTAGTGATCAATGGCTCCATGTCTAGTTGGCAGCCGGTATCAAGCAGAGTGCCCCAAGGGTCGGTGCTGGGGCTGGTTTTGTTCAATATCTTCATTAATGATCTGGAGGAGGGCGTGGATTGCACCCTCAGCAAGTTTGCAGATGACACTAAACTGGGAGGAATGGTCGATACACTGGAGGGTAGGGATAGGATACAGAGGGACCTAGACAAATTAGAGGATTGGGCCAAAAGAAATCTGAGGTTCAACAAGGACAAGTGCAGAGTTCTGCACTTAGGATGGAAGAATCCCATGCACTGCTACAGACTATGGACCAAGTGGCTAGGCAGCAGTTCTGCAGAAAAGGACCTAGGGGTTACAGATGAGAAGCTGGATATGAGTCAATGGTGTGCCTTGTTGCAAGAAGGCTAATGGCATCTTGGGCTGTATAAGTAGGAGCATTGCCAGCAGATCAAGGGACGTGATCATTCCCCTCTATTCGGCATTGGTGAGGCCTCATCTGGAGTACTGTGTCCTGTTTTGGGCCCCACACTACAAGAAGGATCTGGAAAAATTGGAAAGAGTCCAGCGGAGGACAACAAAAAATGATTAGGTGGCTGGAGCACATGACTTATGAGGAGAGGCTGAGGGAACTGGGGTTATTTAGTCTGCAGAGAAGAATGAGGGGGGATTTGATAGCTGCTTTCAACTACCTGAAAGGGGGTTCAAAAGAGGATGGCTCTAGACTGTTCTCAGTGGTACCAGATGACAGAACAAGGAGTAATGGTCTCAAGTTGCAGTGCGGGAGGTTTAGGTTGGATATTAGGAAAAACTTTTTCACTGGGAGGGTGGTGAAGCATTGGAATGGGTTACCTAGGGAGGTAGTGGAATCTCCTTCCTCAGAGGTCTTTAAGGTCAGGCTTGACAAAGCCCTGTCTGGGATGATTTAATTGGAGATTGGTCCTGCTTTGAGCAGGGGGTTGGACTAGATGACTTCCTGAGGTCCCTTCCAACCCTGATACTCTGTGATTCTATGAATTACCGCAGCTTATTAATGCACAGCCTGGAGTGGATTTATTATTTTGTTTTCCAATTAAAGCACGAGGGGCTCAGTAGTTTAAAATAATCTTAACCAGTTTTAGGAAGGATTTGTGCAATTTATCCTTCCACTATGAAAAGGGATAGTCCTAGAATAGTCACCCACTCTCCTCCCACCCTTTAGTGTCTTTTTATATATTAAAAAAAGTTTTAGATTTCTTTCTGCATGAACAAAGAGTGGAGAGAGTCTTCCCTGCTTGCTGAAGAGGACCTAATTAAGTGAATTGGTGCAAAACTGTGACATCTCCAAGGAGAGTTCCAGCCAACCAGAATATGGCTCTGGACAATCAGAGTCTCAAGCCACACATTTGTGAGGTTCCTCTTGTAGCTATCAGTGATAAGAAAGTACTCAAATCCATGCACTAACTGTAAACTGGGAAATAGAAAGGCTTATTTGCTTACATAGGTCTTTCCATTCATAGATCAATAAAGTCTCTACAAAAGTGAGCAGTTACCTGCATTTTACAGATAGGAAAACTAAAGGCAGGGAGAAGTGATCTGATTTGATTAAGGTCACATAGCATGTGGCTCCGCAAGAATGGTATTGTGCTTAAGGCAACAGATCGGGGTTCAGTTCTTATCTCTACCACATACTACACAGATGACCTTGGTCAAATCACAACCTTTTTGTCCATTTCCCCCCCTGTAAAATGGTGATAAAAATGCTTCCTCATCCCACAAGCTCTTGGAAGAGCAATTGTAGAGCAAGTCAGAAGTCTTCCAACTACATGGTTTTTCAGTGATAAATGGCAATTCACCAAAACTGTTCATGGGAGATAATTGATTTTGACATCCCTCATTCAAAAATTTTTTGAAAAAGTTTACATTTTTTCTTAAACAAGAAGTATATTTTCTTGTTTAAATTTCCAAAATAAAGATCTTTTGGAAATTTAATTTTTAGTAAAAAAAGTGGAAACTGAAATATTTAGGTTGACCTGTTCCACATTTTTTTCCCTTCACATTATTGATAAGCAAAATTTTGAGATTTCAACTTTTCATCATGATTTGAAATGGGAAAATTCTGAAATTTCAAACTTTCACAGGACAGGAAAAACATTCACTGACCAGCTCTAAAAAACTCATTAGCCTTTGCAAGATGCTCAGATGTTATGGTGATGAGGGCCAAACAAAAGCCTAAAAATAAATAAAAAAAAAATCCAGGTTCTCTTGACAGCCAGGGCTTTGCCCTATTGTAGATTTTATGGTTATGAACTGACTGTAGGGTGAAGAAACAAGGTTAGAGCCTATGAGGAGTAGATGGCACTTGTAATGGTCTCCAATTCAGACACACTCAGTAAAATTGTCAGTTGCGGAAGAAAGCATGTCCCTTTCTTTGAAGGCAAAAAGAGGCAAGGGAAAGTAGGTGATTTGAGGGGTACAGCAGTTTTACTTTGTACACATTTCATCATCAGTTGGTTGACTGTCTATCTCAAAAGTACTCCCATTCCACTGCAGATTTTCTTTTCACAGCAGAGAAGAAAAGATTGAGAAGATATCACTGTATTTTTGTTAATTTACTATAAAAACTTTATTTTCAATTGTAAACTTCTTGGGTTTAAAGACTCTTCCAAAGCAAACAAAGAATATTTACAATTGGGATCCTACCTTCCTGGAGCAGCCTTAGAAAGGAAATTAAAATTTAACTCACAAGAAGTATATAGTTCAGTGCCAAACCTCAAAATTACATATTTGAATTGTTAAAGTGTCAAGTTGCCTACTTACAGAAAATTAAAAACATTCTGTAAAAGTTTAATTTCAGAATTTGCTTACTGTACATGTTATAGTTTCAAACATTTAAAAGCTCTATTGGTGGTGGCTTTAGAGGAATCTTTCCTAGCGTAAACTTCTTTGCTTCAAACTGCTTCAACTCCTCAGGTGATAGATCAGTCTTTGGTGTGAATAGCGTATCTGAAGTAACAATGCTTGTGGCTGCAGCAGGTGCTGGTGCTACATTATATCCAAAGGCACTAACAGACTGTCCAAATAAAGAGTTGCCTGATTCTGAGGCAGGGGCAGCAACTGCTGCATTAACAGCTCCAAAGGCTGGAAGTGGGGTTGTGCTTGACAAGTTTACAGCAGAGGAACTGCCAAACCCTGAAAATCCAGAAGTTCCAAAACCACCTGCCGTTTCAGGCTTTTTAAATGAAAAAGAGGCTGCAGATGAAGCTGGTTGGCTACCAAAGCCAATGGAAGGGGCTGATCTTGAGGAAGAGGTCACACCCAATGCGGAAGGATCCGGAACAATAGAAGAGCTTCCAAATGCAGTGGTGCTTCCAGAGGATGCATTAACAAGTTCAGTATTTGGTTTAAAGGAAGAACCGCTGGCACTCCTATTGCTGCTGCTGCTTAGTGGAAAGCCTGCAATTATAACACACACAGGGAAATTTTTAGAACAGAAAAACAAAAGGCAATAATTAACAGTGCTAGCTATTATTAATACAGAAAACTTACCTGATGACCCAAAGGTTGATGTTTGTTGTCCACCAAATCCAAAGGCAGGCAATGGTTGACTAACCACATTTTTCAGTTCAGATACCTTTAAAAAAAAGGCAAATGTAGGATTCACATTTTAAAGTGGGAAAATGTGTTTCTTTCTATAAACATAACTAATATAAATACTTCTGATAATTAAGTCAGTGAAGTCAAAACTAGTTTCAACTGAAGAAGTTAATTGGCATGGTTCTTTTAAGTATGTTGTCATATCAGGCCAAGCCTAAAAATATTGTGTAGCAGGAATGGAGCATGACACTGTTTTCAAATCCAGACCACCACCTTCTGTCTCTCTCTCTCTCTCACATGCTCCATCTGTTCTGTCATTCTTCACTCGCCCCCCCCCCCCCACCCCAAACAAGTGTTCCAAAAGCATTATCCAAGACCTGATGCCAGACTACTATCAACATGCCTGTCTCATTGCTACTTGGCCAGATCCTTTGACATGGATACCCCTGCATAGCAGTAATATGGAAGATAATCTCAACTATGGTGTTTTTCAAAGTACTGCAGCAGTTTTAGCCACACATCTTCTATTAAAATTGTCACAGCTAGAAGGCAAATATTTTCAAGTCTTGGCTATTTAGTGCCAAGCAAGACCATTCTAAATGAGTGCAAAGTACTTGTTCTTAAATAATAAATGTTGAAAATTTCAAAGCCAAGAAGGGGGATTTAGACTTTAATGTAAATAGAAGATGGATGGCTAAATCCTATGACTATATTATCTGTATTTTCTACACATGGAACTTTTGCCAGATCGCTATATGAAGATCAATTCATGAAGTCATCAAATATGGATTCCATTTCTTCACCCATATCATGTCTTAGAAATTGGTTCATTAACGATCATCGTGAAGGCAACTAACTTTGGTATGTGTAGCACACTTTGGCATGATGTGTCTAACAAACTATCTTGAATCCAAGTTAAACATTTCTGTTCGAAATTAGGATAAGGAGAACATTAAATATATTTTACTTTTCAGTAATACTCACCAATGCTGCTTTGGTAGATGTATTTAGAGTCTTCAACTCAAGCAATCTATTTCTCCATTGGTTTACTAATTGCTGGACTGAATTTATCTAAAAAGGGGAGGGAGAAAAAAAAAGAGAAAGGACATTAAGTCTGTGTTAATGATGCAAATAAGAAATGGCAATATTGAGTAATTTCATGATGCAACTGAAAAGGCACAGGTTTCTTAAATTATGATAGGACAACCCCACTAGCCCAAAAGTAGGAAGACACCTACCCCTACCCAAAACCTCCACGCTACAAATTTGAGCAGGGGAAGTGCAAGTCTGAAACTCAAGATTCCTTCAACTTTCTTTACAGAATTGCTCTCAGACCAAGCGTATTGCGTTTTATGCATATAAAACATGAGAAACTGCAGGATACTTTCTTTAATGCAAGTTCTAACCAATTAGTAGTATTAACAGAGGAATTTCAAATTCCAGCTCTACAAGAATAAACTCTTCAATTCCTTGTTTTACTGCTGGCATAGTTGACATTGTATGTGCTGAATCATTAAGTTAAATACCAAGAGTTTACCTAATGCTCCCCTTGCTTTCTAGCAAAAACACCCCCTTCTCTCTCAGGATAATTTAGCACTATCACTCCATACTTATTAATTAAGGACTTAAATTCACTAATATAATCAGTTCCCTTAAAGTGCAGAGTGGATTACTACACACAATTCTGTAGTGATTGCTAAAGTACAGGAAATTAAACTTTAATAGAAGAAAAGGGTATTTAGTAATGATTAAAACATTAAATAATCACATCACAATATTGTGTACATCACTATTCCACATCAGTATAATTTAAATAAAATAATGTGCTTTCGCATTTGTTATAAGTAGCTATAGCTTAACATAGTGTAAAAAAAAAGTCAACATTAGAAAAGCCTTTTGATGTGCCAGCAACCTGTGAAAGTGGAATATTTAATCTTTTAGTAAAATCTTCGCACACTTTCAAAGTTTCTCAACATCACAAACACACCAACAATTCTATTCAGCATGGTTACATGCTGGAAGATCATTGTCTGACATCAGCTCTTATAAGAGACAGACTGGGAAATTCCTCGTTTATATTTTGACTCTTTTTATGAATGAAACATGATTTGGATGAGAATATCTCATGGAAGGACTATACAAGGTAAATAATTATGGACTTGTATATTGACAACTTCATGAACGTGCATTCAAATATTCAGTGATGCTCTCTTACAAATCTTAAAATCAGTCAATACGCTATCCACCACCATTAAGTTTGATTATAGCTTAATGAATATTAAAGGTTTTACAAAAACTTCTCAGCAATACCAGCTACTAAGAAAACATGCAAAGGTGATAAAAATAAATGTACATGTAAAGTGTTTTTTTTGTTTGTTTGTTTTTTTTTAAAAGGTGAAACATTTACTAGATTAGAAAGTTATATTTGGAAGGCTCACTTCAGAGATTTGAGGAAGCAACTGTTCCACCTTTGACAAAAAAAGTTATATTAAAAAAATAAAAGGGTTATACTTTGTTTTTGTATGATTCCGCCTTCTCTAATCACTTCTGCTTTCATATCTTCACTGCCTCGTTTGACTAATACTAAACGATGTTTCTGGTGGGACAAAATTTTCTTCTGCCTCCCAAGAAGCAGTGTTCGTGCTAAATGTTAAAATTAACAGGAAGCACCAGCATTTAAGTGCTTCCTATGTCTAATAAAACTAGTATTATTAGCAATTCCTACTGAAATGCTGTCCAATGGGAAGAAAAATTGTGCAACATCAATCAGATTGGGCATCCAAATCATGATATTCCAGAATAAAACAGAGTTTGCTTTTATAATACCAGCATATTAGATTCTGGACTGCAGCAATATCCGAAGTCTATTTAAAGGAAGATAATTAAATTGAAATCTAGTCAATTACAAAAGGTTTGAAGTAAGGTAGTTTCAATGTCAGTAATTTGTGGGTTTATGACAACATTCTTCTATTTAAAAAAAAATGTTTTCAGTTCCCAGTGTGTGAAATATCCACACAAACGGGAAATCTTGTAATTGTCTATCACAAACTGTTAATTGCACAAAATTATTTTTAAAAAAAATTTCCCTTTAATCTCTGAATTAACATTAGGTGTTACTTGGGGCAATTCTTCAAATATTTTCAAAGAGAAATTTGACTTCTGATGTCATTAGGGTGTTCTAAAGTTAATCTTTTGCAATAGCGTAATTTCCTGTTTGTGAACTGAGAAAGAACGAATGGAGGAAAACAAATTTAAAAATAAAACGCTTGGCTTATTGAGGGTGTTATAAACAGTTTTATTATTAACCACACTACTGCAATTGATTTTAGTTTAACAAGCAAGACTGGTGGTAAAAGGACAGATTGGAAAGAACAGAGGGGTATAAAGTCAATGGACACATTTTTCTGACTGGAGAGAGACTAAGGCCAGGTTTACTTGTGGAATTTTTGCTGCTATAGTAATGTCAGTCAGGATTTAATTTATTTTTTAAACATTTCTATAACAACCAAAGCCATAGTGTAGATGCAGTAATACCAGCACTAAATGCTTTTGCTGATATTAGCTATACTGGAAAAGAATTTGTTTGCCAGTATAAACTGTATCTACATTAAGAGGCATTGCTGATATAGCTGTAGGAAAAAAAAAATTGTCAACAGTATAGAGGAGGACTTTTTGAATAGGAGACAAGGAAAAACAAAAACAAATAAAAAAACACTTTGCTCACAAGAAGGGAGCCTTCACAGCGCCATATGTTTGTAATACAGATAAACTAACCTGTTTGTGTCTCAGAAGTTTGACAGTCATCTTTTAGTTATTTGTAAATGCGATAACTTGTATTATGAAAGGATGTGGATGAAACTTCAGCCTGACTGGTGCAGCTGGTACAAAACCCATATAATTAGCTCAAATACACACTTTTTGACTTTGTCCTCTTCTTCACCAGAAAGATCACTGTACCACTTCATAGTACATATTTTATAAATCTAAACTATTATATTTTAAAAAAAAAAAGTAGTGCAAGATTAGTGATTCAGGTGGCTGTTGTCCTCCCAAGGAAATCTGAACTCCTGACACCGCAAGAGAGGTTGCCTGTAGCAGATCAAATTAAGTGTAGTGACTGCATTCAGGGCAGGCCTACCACTACCTATTTCCCTTTGCAGTTTCTCTATATCCCCAAATCTGTCAAACAGCTCAATTCCTACTACGAGACTGCAGTAGGAAATTGTCTCCATTGCCAGGCGGGTTCCCTTGATACTTACGTGGCTTTAGGGGCAGCAAGGACATAAAATTAAAATGAATCGCTGTTTAACTGTACTGGTACAAGTCCTCTGCTCTAAAGGGTGATGACGCTTTAAACAATACATGGAGTTTATCTTCATTGTGCCCTATGCTCTGCCACATCAATATCAAATTATATCGATATCAGCAGAGACAGTGTCAAGCTCTCAGGCCATGATTCAAGCAGTTACACAAATAGTACCGAGAAGATTCTAAGGGCTAGCAGAGAAGAAGCTTGAGGAGTAAGGATAAGTGTGAGCAGAGGAAAATCTAGGCAAAGAGCAGCCCCTAAATTTAATTATGTGAGATTAGCCAAAAGCCCTCTCCCATTGCTTCCCATGGAGCAGCAGCATTAACAAAGCAAGTGCCCAGCACTTTAGGAAATCAAACCACTTTCTTTAGCTGCCTAATTTTAGGCACCCACGTGAGACAGTTTTGGCCAATGTTCTCAATTAAATTAATAACTGAAACTGGAAAGCATGCACTGTATATTTAAAACTAAAAACAGCCAAATTCATTGAGTGTGTATTTTGGCATTCTGAAAATTCCTTGGAATTTGTTACACAAATCAAATGAGCCACCACTGTAGTTATTAAAGTAGCACTACTCTGAATTGCGTATGTTACATCAGAAAAGTTTGCAATATTTTTAAAAAGCTTACATAGTTCTGAATATTATTGTTTGCTCTGCAGTTATAGTATTCAAGATGCAACTCTTCTGGTGAGAAGTCTGGAAAACCTGTAGGGAAAGGAACAATCAAAATCCTCAGAGGAAGATGTATTGTTTGAGAGCACTTTTATGAAGCTACAATAGATAGGCCTTGCTGCAACACCCATAATAAGTCAATTAGTTACAGTACATTTGAAAAGATGCAAAGGTCACTTGTAATAGAACCTCCAGGTTGCACATGCCAAAAATGAGGCACCATATCACTTTATCATAAGTTAAGTCTAGATCCTGCAAGATCTCCACATAGGTGGAACAAGTGGAATGTTTGAGGCTTTAGCTTTTTAGGGGAAGAGCTTTTGTCTCGTGCAATTCTGCAAAGCAACTGGCACTCTTT